GGCATCAGATTGTGTGGACCGTAAGTCTTACACAGGATATATGTTTAAATTGTCTGGTAGTGTAATTGCATTTGAATGTAAAAAGCAAGTAACAATAGCTTTTTCTAGCACAGAAGCGGAGTATATGGCTATGTGTGAGGCAAGTAAAGAAGCCATTTACTTAAGAAACCTATTATTAGAGTTAAAATGTAGAAATGAGTCACCTGTACTGTTATACAATGACAATCAGAGTGCACAGTTGTTGACTAAACATTGTTTATTCCATAAAAGAAGCAAGCATATTGATGTTAGATTTCATTTTGTCAGAACAGCAGTTGAAAATAATATTGTTAAAATAGGATATTTAAATACAAATGATATGCCTGCAGATGTACTAACAAAAAGTTTAAGTTACCAAAAATATAATAATTTTGTTGAACAATTAGGTGTTACTCCATTGTAAATCTATCTTTGGCCTTGTGTTTCATCAATAATTTTTTTTTGCTTATTTCTGTATATCGATTATTTTGATAAGGGAGTCTGTTAATATATATATATCAAAATAATAGTAATTGGAAAAGTACACTAAATAGTGTCTATAGCAACTTAAGTTACCTAATCTGTGTCATTGTGTGACAACCATAAGGGTGTGTGCTCTATGAATAAATCTTTTTTTGTCTGTGGCTAACGCTTGTAGTTTCATAAGTTATAAACTGATACTATTTATAGCAATCCAAATATAATAGAAAAATGAGGAAAACGTTTAAAACGAACTAGGTCATATTTTCGGATTGAACTCATTGATCTCACCGAGTAAGAGACAAACTACCCTATGAAATTAATTATTGTGTAAGCAAGAAAGTAATTACTTCCCTGCGAGAAATTTACCGGTACGTATGTTGTGTTTAATTAAGAGTTTGGAATATTTCACTACCCACAATTACATGCGCTATGCTCATGGAACAAATCCGTTGAACATTGATCATGTGGTTAAACAAACATGTTAGACTTGGAATTAATTTAAATGGCTTACCTTTGTTCAAGTAACTTAATTTAACCACGTTTTTGTTAAATCACTCTCGTTCTCATAAATTTCACTGTGCTTGCTGGCTGACATAATTGTCTTTTATCTGTACTAATATTATAAAGAGGACAGATTTTATTGTATGTTTGTTTGTATTTAATAAGCTTCGAAAGTACTGAACCGATTTGAAAAATTCTTACACATTTAGTATCCTAAATTATCCCTGATGAACATAAACTATAAAGCATTTTCAAAAAAATTAGGGTACCGTATGAAAAATTCGACAATGTAACCCAGGGTGTGAAAAGAAAAACCAAAAAATAGTCATATATCGCTTACACTGCGGATGTCATAGACAATAAAGCAGTGATGTACTAAAGTTTTATAGAAGACATAAATATCTACGAAAAAGTCTGCGATATCATTTCACTAACTATTACACACATTATTACAGTTATGACTCAACTAAAGGTCTTCTGCGGTTTCACCCGCGTTAATTTGAGGAAAAGGTTATATTGAGTCAAACTTAAACGATGGACATATTATTAAGCTGTCGCGGACTTTTTTATAGAACTTTCAAAGGAAAATAAATTCGTCATACATGATTTTGTGCAACTTTAATCATTTACGCAGCACACGCAACGGAATCTCCCAAATGGAATATTGTTACCCGTTTTTGCAACATTTTACATCCATACTCCGCTCCTTCTAGTCGTAATGTAATATTATATAGCCGTACGCCTTCCTCAATAAGTGCACTATCTATACATTTTTTTTTCAAATCGGACCATTAGTTCCTGAGATTTGCGCGTTCAACCAAAAAAATGGTGCATTCGATACATTGGGTCATAAACTACGCAACAAAATTTTCATTATCAGTTAAGTTTTTAATTGAAGGTTTATAATTATATAAAGAACAACAATTATTATATTATAGAGAGAAAAGATTTGATGGTTTAGTATATCACATTATTATTATTTTAAAGTTCATTAGAATGTTAATAAAACGCATTTTGATTTAATTTATTTGTATGTTTTGTTGTTTATTGCCAAATACTTCAAATTTCTCAGGATATTTTCATTGAATGGCTATTTAGTGGACTCTCGGGACATATTCGGTAGATTGAGAACATCTTAATTAGACCGCTAGAACATACAACAGAGAGGCGATTTACATTTTTAGAAATGTTGACACATTTGTCAATTAAAGAGAATGTTTTATAATGGGCCAATTTCAACAAGTTCAGTTAACTTTTTGCCTAATTCCGGAGGAAAATTTTAATATCCGTTTATAGTAAGTTTTGATGGACTGAATATTACGAGCCTTTACCACCGTTTTAGCGCAACCGATAAAAACCAAATTTTACAAGAGGTTCTTCGTTTAAATACTTAAAGAAACAAAAATGTGCTATTGGTATGGCGTGTAAATAGCCTACCACAGGAATGCGGTTTTCTATATTTATGTATGCGGCGGGCGAATTATTACGTACGAGCTGATTGAACTCAAAGAAACATTAACTATGCAGCAAATGGAAATCAAATAAGGCGCAATGCCACCAACGACTCACCTGGATGTCTCTCTGTCTCCTTAGCAGGCTTGCAAGCGTAGGCACAGCATAAGCAGATCCTTTCTTCGTCCTCTGGGTGCGGTTGAACGATTTCCGCGAAAATTATCGATGCGAGTTTATATAATATGTGTACACGACCGATCGGTAGGTACAAAACGCGAAGCAGCAGCGATGGACCGTTGAAGATGACTAGCCAACGATCGTTATTAAAGTTTGAGTACCCGCGCATAAGAATATTCGCGGCACCCATGTATCTGCCATCTGGACAGGTGCGCAGATCGAACACCGTGTGGCGCCAGCGAGCATAATCCCCATCCGAAACCCAAATGCGAACATTGATGTAAGGAAACTCATACATAATAAAACGCCAACCAGCTATTAAATTTAGAATTTTAGGTGAATACCTAAATATATAATTCAAAAAAATTAATAATAATGAGTATGCTATTTATTGCCCTAACATTATTTTTGCTATCATACACTTAGGTTATTTAAGCGTTAACGTAACTATATTTGATAAATAAATAGGTATTTTAAAAGGCTTATAAATGAAATAGTCATATGAATTATAATTATTATAAGTTAAGTATATATTATAGACACTGCTTTTTTCATAATTATTGCGATTTTAACGTATTATTATTATTTATCAATAATTTTACTGTCCCGTATATGTTTAAAAACCATACATTGAAATATTGTATCACTCTCATACTGAGGCATAATCTCAAATATCCAAATTATATTAGGTTTATCATTGACAATAATAATAGAAAGAAAACCATTGTTAGATATTGAAACCCAAGCGTTTTTATCTATAATTCATGTAACTATTCTGAGAACATCGTACATCCCTTACTATAATGTGAACGTTTACTTTCATAAATTAGGTAACAGTAGGGTCTAAGCACGTAGGATGTAGCTGCGCTTAGTGGGTGATAAACATCAGTAGGGATACCTACTGATGTTTACTACTACTTTAAAAAGACTTAGCGAAGTAAAAGTGATACCGAGCCTGATTCTAACATTATTCTCTAGACCTAAATCTAAATTTGACAGCAGCATATCCTTATCATGCTTTTTAGTTCATGAAAAGGTGAACTACTACTGTCTGCTGTCAAAAGTTTTAGGGTTTGTGAATAATGCCAGACTCAGGCCCATTTTGTAGATATTCAAAGAGATGTATTTATTTCTCAAATTTTGAAGTTTTTCTTTTAAATTTATTTGTGAATTGAGTGAGAGAGTAAATGTGTTATGGAACTTTCATTGGCAATAATTCTTTACATTTATACATAATATTGAACTTGACATCTTTGTAATTTAACTGTTTCCATTATCACAACCAATCTTATGTGTGATAACTCTTAAAAAAATGCAATAATATTTTCGCTTTCTTAAGCTGCGTAAAGATACGTACGGATAGCGCGTTCTTACGCATAGCCGGGACATGCTGTCCTCGCGTTCAGCTCCTGTAAACCGCCGCGAACCAGAACGCGAGCCTGAGCTATAGCGCTATGCGTGCCCCGTATCATTATTCACTATTGAAACTCGATGCGTCCCTTTTGCCGTCAAAATACAGTGTACAGTGCAATGCAAGCAAGATCTTGTGGCCAGTGGCTAAAATCGAAACTCATTTTAGGAAAGTATAAACAAGCCTTTTATTTATATAGGAAGTTGTAAATTAGCCTTTTATATTTCCTATACTCTTTCCGAGTTATTGCAAATTATAACGTTCCCGACAAGTGAAAAGATTTTACATAGATACTGTATCGCCCGTAGCGTTACGGCTTGTGTAAACTCTTTGCTTATGTAATGCCTATGGCTGGCAGTTATATTAAAAGGTAAATGACTTTATTTTAAATATTTGAATATGAGAATCTGTTGTCTCATATCGAACGTTCCAAGAGATAGAATTCAGGCACAGAAAAGAGCAGATGATAGTAAATGATTGTAATTCTCCCAGATTAAAATAAACAACGTTTTATCATCTTATGTGTTCTTATTGTAATAACGATAACAAAGCTACGCTCCCAGGGCTTCCCTTTAGGACCAGCATTACAGTACCTACATATTTAACACAGATTTTTTTTCATTTCACCAGCAGCCTTCTCCTTACAATGTGATCTAAGTGCCACAAGATCTGTTTGCACAGTTCCCGGGCGTGCGTGTTTCCATTGACGCGTAACCGAGAACCGACGGTAGCTCGCCAGCGAGTCAACTCACGCTGCACGCGCAAGCCACAAGTATGGATAGCGCGTTACGTTCCACATCCGTACGCAGCTTAACAAAAACAAAGCGGTCTTTAAGATTAATCATATTGTCATTACTTTATTATCATCAACGATGATTTTGTTGAACCTGAACTACAGTCCTACAATGTGAAGTTCATGTCTTCGGTAAAGATTTATATATTTTTTTCTTTTTTTCAGATTCTGGAAGATATGCGCTGAGCTTACTAAGTGTGGTATTCTTTATATTAAACACTAGAGTCTACTTTTTGAATGACCTTACTTAAATGTTATATAATTAATAAAAAAATTAAATGTAAGTTAAAATATGAAAAATGTATAGAGACTAATGAAAATAACAGAAGATGTGTATTTAATTTACTATGCAAGAAGTCCTTATGCATAAAAAGTCCATTCAGAATAAGATTATATTTACGTAGTAAAAAAAATAAAACTTATTTTGACTAAACAGTAATTGTGTTGAACGAAACGGTACCTATCATTAAACAACAATTTTATTTGAACTCAATTCTACATCGAAAGAAAGAGATGATGTCAAAAGAAGACAGTTGAACGTTTAAAAGTGTTATTAATTAACATTTGCGATCTATAAAGGACAATGGCGAACTGCCATACAATTTTTGTTGAATTTTTTTTTTGCGTCTATGAATGAATTACATGTTAAATTATAGAGTTTAGATTCTCGATTTGATTCGTCTTATTTCTTTTATTATAAAGAAGTCTGGATTTATAGATATTCTACTTTGAAGTTTTGGAGGTTATGTCATCGTAAGTCATACAAAAACGAATTTTAAAAGTATTTTCAAGAGTATTTTTATATCGAAATATAAAATACGTGGAACGGAACTATAGAAGTATACCTGTACCGTAGATTAGTGACGAAAAAAAATTTTTTTTAATGTATGATCTGCAGGCGTACCGACCGCGTCAAAATGCTTAAAAGACAAGGGTAACTGAGTTCGAAAACAATGTCTGTGTTGTAAGAAGTACTTTACAATTTGAAAATGCCCACATCAATAATAAAGCATAAAAAAGGATTTCTAATAGTGTTCTAATGGGATATTCATTAAATATGAAACACTTTTATATTTTTTTTATTCCACCTCTTCTTTGATCGTAATATCATAGATAGTAGATAGGCACAATGAAATAAAATCCATCGAATGGGACAGAATCTTGTCCAAAATCCACAGCAAGAAGTCGTCCAAAATAGTCTTAGGCAAACACTACTCAACAGTCGCAGGCAAAGATCTCGAAAGTCCAAAAGCAGTCAAGTCATATAATATTAGTATATATATTAGTTATCCGTGCGGTGACGGAGAAAGAATACCACTCACCGCCCCATCACTTCCCGCGGGTGCCGTAAGAAGCGACTAAGGGATATCGGAGCTTCCATCCGCTCTTCTGGTGGTAGGGTGCCTAACACCCGCCTGGTTTGTTACCACCGTAGGCATGGTGAAAAACCCGTGAAGTGCTTTACGCGCGTTTCGGGGTTTAGCCAGCGTACAACCAGAGCTCTACAAGATTGCCGCGATGGATTCGGTCTAGTGGAGGCATCCGTCGAACCGATGCCGGAAGGACTGTATCGACCCGCCGGCCAGGGAGACCCGTAGAAACGGCTGTCCCGCTGGCCGCCCGTGGCACAGTACAGGAGCCCAAGCATTCCTAACCAGTTCGCAAGGCTGCCCTATCATGTCACGCATAATCTCGAGGTGAACCGTCGTGCCGGTTGGTGACCGGGGCGTGGGGTCCCGGCGGCCACTCCCGGGGGGGTGCGGGGGCCCTTCCGTCCGGTGGGTCGGCGTATCTCTTTTCACGTCTCTCAATTTTTTCGCATGATGCCAGCCCGTAAAACGAAGTTTGGTTGTACAGCGGTGCACACCCCCACGCCTTCCGCGCTATTTGAGGTTGAGTTCTGTAATATACGTGGACTCCACTCTAACCTCAATGCTGTCCATCACCATCTTGAGATAGCACGGCCAACATTATTGTTTCTCACGGAGACACAAATACTTCCGCCCGCTGACACAGGCTACCTTAATTATCCCGGCTACGTGCTTGAAGAATCCTTCAAAGCAAAAGACGGCGCATGCCTGTATGTTCGGGCAGATGTTTGTTGTCGCCGTTTGAGCTGCCTGATAGACCCCTTCTTCTCCATGTTGGCGGTACATGTAGACTCTGAGAGTCTACGTGTGCCTCTACAGATCCCACACCGGCGACGCTGAGACAACTCGACTGTTTGACCACCTTAGAAGGGCAGCAGATGATGCCCAGGCGCAATTTCCCAACGCAGAACTGGTGTTTTTGGGGGACTTTAACGCCCACCATGGTTTGTGGCTGGGCTCCTCCAAAACTGACCATGCAGGGATCTCTGCCCATGCATTCGCTCTCACAGTTAGCAAAACTCTTTGCGGCTAACTCCCGAATCAGTGATTGCAATGCACTGCCACCTACACTTCCTCATTGTGGCACTACGATGCCTGACATTAAAATCAGGCAGCATGATGTTCGTGTGGAGTTGCAATCACTCGACGTCCGGAAAGCTAGTGGACCCGATGGCATCCCAGCAGTTGTGCTAAAACATTGTGCAGCGGAGTTGTCTCCCGTGCTTACGCTCCTGTACCAACTGTCTTACTCTTTGGGGCGTGCGCCGGAGGCATGGAGGGAAGTCAATGTGCAACCGGTGCCCAAAAAAGGGGACCGCTCAGACCCAGCTAACTATCGGCCAATAGCTGTCACTTCAGTGTTGAGTAAAGTTTTAGAAAGGGTCCTTAACAACCATCTGACCCGCTCCCTAGAAGTTTACTCTCTGATTCACGATCATCAATACGGATTTAGGCCGAATCGATCGACGGGTGACCTAGCGTACGTGACACACATCTGAGGTGAAGCTATAGTCAAGCGGGGAGAGTCTCTGGCTATTAGCCTTAACATCGCCAAGGCTTTTGACAGGGTCTGGCACAAAAGCCTTCTCTCCAAGCTTCTTGCATACGGTCTGCCTGCTCAGCTCTGCGCCTGGGTAGCTGACTTCCTGCGTGAACGTAGGATTCGTGTCCTTCTCCTCTCTCCAAACGGATGTAGTTCGCAGTTCATGTCAGTGAATGCCGGTGTTCCTCAGGGCTCCATTCTATCCCCTACACTCTTTCTACTGCATATCAATGATTTGATTCCACTTGCGAATATTCCATGCTATGCAGACGAAAGTACAGTGCATGCGAGATATTTTGGACATGCAGCGGCTGGGCAGATAGAAACCAAGGAGAAACGGGAGAATCTTGTCGCTGAACTCAATCAGGCTTTGGACCACATTTCCGAATGGGATACCAGCAACTTGGTTGAGTTCAATGCCAAGAAAACTCAGGCCTGCGCTTTCACGGCAAAAACATCGCCATTCCTTCCCCTTCCCTGTTAACGCAACGTTACCATGCTCGGTATGGAAATTCGCTCAGACCTGAATCCAAAGGACTATATCGAAACCGTGATCAAAACAGCTTCACGCAAACTCGGAGTCCTGAACAAGGTGCGGCGTTTTTTCACGCCCGATCAACTGTGCTTGTTGTACAAAACGCAAGTGCGGTCCTGCGTGGAATATTGCTCGCTCCTCTGGGATGACTCCGCTAAGTACTTACTCGATGCCTTGGATAGGTTGCAGCGGCGCGCTGTCCGCATCATTGGCGATGAAGAGGTAACCAAGAAACTCGAGTCTCTACAATTACGCCGAGATGTGGCATCATTAAGCGCATTTAACGACTATACCACGGCGAGTGTTCTGAGGAGTTATTCTCCCTTATCCCTCCATCACCTTTTCTTCAGAGGACCACGCGCGCTGACCTACACGAACCACTGTCGTCACTATTCCTACACGAACAAAGAAATTTGGTGACTCATTTCTTTGTCGTACTATTCGTAAGTTGAATTCTTTACCCGCGCAAGTGTTCCCTCCTTCCTATAATCTGGGGTCCTTTACAAGAGGCGTGAAGAAGCATTTTTGCACGCCGGCAAGATGAGGATGATTGGTGTAGCAGTTTATAACTGCTGTACCAGCTATCTTCGCGTTTGGACTTTATTACCACTTAACATCAGGTGTGGTAGAAAAACATATCTCAGAAAAAAAAACACACTACGCGGATTTAAATCTTTGCAATACGCATACAGAAGCAACGATAATGATAACATTCGATGACAATAATAATTCATTAAACGGTGTGGTAAAAAAGGAAGCGGCTCCTATCTTCATATTCCCTTTTCCAAAACTAATATATGTGCACGTCTTTCCAGAAATTCACTGCCAATTTGACGTTGATATCTCTCAGTACGGGACGCTGGCAGATGGGCCCCAGAAGGAAGGCACATTGGCCAAAAAAAAAACATTGGATGACAAGTATGACAGTGACAGTTATAGTTTTTTGCATTAGAATTGGCGCCATCCTCTTTTTGTATTGTGGAAATTATTTATTATGGTTTAAGTATAATATTGAAAAATAATGTTTCCCGATATTTTTGATAGATAGTAAAATATATTTTAAACGTAAAGCGATGAAAAACATACGAACAATATACTTGAAGTTGATTTAATCACTTAAAATAAATGGCTCAAAAGCCATGACGTCAAGCCACAATAAAGAAATAGTCAATTTTGATCCTTTATTATGTTTTTAATTCCAGACTTAGACATCCTTCCTCAATTATTTAATACATCTTTTGAGATTATTTTATTAACATTTCTGATAAAGACATCTAGATGCTAAAGATTTACTTCAACAAATATTTCGCCATTGTCCTTTATTATGTCAATGGCCATCACTCTTGCGTAATTCTCTAATTCTAAGAAAAAAATTTACAGGAGAATTATTTACTTATCGTATCGTAATGAGAATGAAGAGGACAAACTGCTGTCAGATTTAGTTTGAAATTTAAGAATTTCGTGTCAGAAATAGGTCCAATATACAATAAACAAAATGCAGCTCCACATTTCTGCTCGCCTATTTTTTTTTTAAATTTGCTTTCTTATTATAATAATCTCTATACACTTATCGGCCGAGACAACACTCCTGAAAATAAGTAGCATTGGATTTTGAAAGTTTAAATGTGATTCGATTTTCGAAAAGGTACTTACTTACCTTCTGAATTTGGATACACTCACTCTCTTGTGTGTAAGCATTGTATTATTAATAACAGTTAGTAAACGAGTTACTCATTTATTTATCCATTAGCTCGAATTTATTTTCCGTTTGAAGAATAAGAATCGAATAACAGTCCACGAACGTCCGTCGTAGGTCCTAGTAGTTGTCGCCTCGTGTCCAGATTTTTCAACAAACGGGCTAAGATAGGCTCTGATGGAAGCCCAATATGCGAAATGTATAACATATTAAGATTCAAAAAGTTATGAATTTATTTTATAAATACTCCTGATCAACAATAAATTAAGCCCGGATGTAACCGGTTGTTTTTGGTAGTGGTTCAAGTACCTACGCTAAAGAACACTTTTTATTTTTTGCATTTGTTCAATGTTTTTAATAATTTTTAGTTTCTAGGACAAGTAGACAATATAAAAGCAAGATACAATTAATTGATACATTCAATAAATATTATTATATTATATCATAATATTAAAAGAGAAACAAAATGTTGCACGTGTCAGGCGTTATGTATTCATTAGCATAGGTTTCGTAAGCCTGGCGGGTGCGCGGTCACAGCGGAGACGGATAGTGTGTGTCGGGTGACGGCGCAGAAGTATTGTCTGGTTTTAGGTGGCCCTGTTCAGGGCGTAGGTGGGGCCCTGTTCACTTCAGCGAGCTCCAGGGCTGGCAGTCCCACATACCTTTTTCTTGCTCCCCCAGTGGTTGAAGGATGCGTAAGACATTTTCCAGACACAAAACAAAAAAGGTTTCCTAAGACTAAAACAGATCTCCAATAGACAGATAGAGATTAAATCTCCGTAGACTACATGACTACTTTTGTATGCCAATGCGGCTGAACACGGTTATTCAATTAATGTTTTAACATCCACATTTACGCTGTGAATCATAAATATATAATTTTATTGATCGATTGTGAGTTTTTGTATTCTCGGTTGGGTAGACTTTATATAAAATGTATCTAATAGCAGTATTTTTGTTGAATTCATCAGGCCATCAAATTATAAACATTACTTGTTTCAAAATTTTACGATTTTGGGTCACTCTGCATCATAGTGCGCTTCATGGTTCATGTTATGCCTCAATGTTAATTTAATACTGTTACAGTCACAGATCATGTAGGTAATACTGCAATTCTGTAAACCAAAGAATGGTTTTGGTTGTTTACCATGCTGCGATCGGAATAAAATGGTAAAATAAGACGTCAGCTGCTAATTTCCCTTAATAAAAACCTATTTAGAGACAAGGCAGTCTCGGTAACTTTCTGTCTGTTTCTGGATCATCTTACAACTCGACCACAAACTTGCCACTATAAGCGGGGGCTAAAGCGACGCGCCTAGGGATGCAGTCTTTTGAAATATCGATATTTATATCGAAGTCAGGAAAATATCGATATCCGATATATCGACCATTTTAACTCGATATTATCGATATATCGATATTTTTTCTTTTTTTTTTGCTTTGTATTAAGTTTGCAAAGCAAAAACCTTTAAGGAAGCAAAGGTTTCCGAAATATCGATATTTATAATGTGGGCAGGTAAATATCGATATTCGATCCGATATATCAGCCATTCCAACATTTCCAACACGATATTTTCTATATTTTTATAGCGCTGTAAGAAGTATCAAATCAAAAGCAATTTCGAATCAAAGATATTTATTTTGTTTAAAATGTTTGCACGCAGCCAAAATCAGAATAGATAATCATATGAAAAACAATTGTTATGTATTAATAAAACCTACACATCAGGGGCGTGCCCATGGCTTCAGAATAGGGTAAGCCCAAAGCTTCCAAAATTACTATACCTATCTTACTTTCTTGACTTGGCGAGCTTAAAAAATTTATGATTTGTATAAGATTCTTAATTTTATTTTGTGTTATATTACAATAATATTAAAGGACATGGTAAAATTTTGTATGAATGATTGCCCTAGCAATGTATAAATATTGCACTTAGTAATATTTAATGCTGAATGGCTGAATATTTCTAATTTCTATGAAAAAAGGCTCAGGAACTTTTGATAAAGTCACAATCTTGAAAATTATGAGATCTCCTATGACGTCATAACCTTGCTATATTTGATATAAGACGTTGCCAATTATTTACAGCGCCATCAATTTCGCATTTTCTTAGAATATTGCCTCATATTTATCTGATTAACACTTCACAAAAAGTATTTTTAAAAGTAAAAATAAAGACAAATATTTTTTTGTAATCGGCCTGACAGGAAACTGTGAAGTTTTATTTTGTTCAATTGCAAAAACAAAGGATAAATTATCATACAGTCTTCTCTCAAGCCTGATCAGAAAAATAAAGTCTATTATTTTAGGCCTTCAGTGATTGGTTATAATAAAATAAGGGCCAAATATGTCATAGTCTTTGGGAGTTTGGAATTAATATTGTTTATTTCGATATACTTACAGAAATGTCTTTTATTGTTCATTTATTTTTGTAAAACGGAACATTTTCGTTTTGAAAGAGACATGAAGTCAATTTTTATACTTTTAAATATTTGATTGATCACGAAAGTTATATGAAAGTAATAAACCCGTAATAATTAATAAAAAAATATTATAATGTTACGGGCTAGTGCAAAATAATTATACACGTTAATTAATCAGTAGTTGACAATTATCTAGAAAGAGAGGCAAGGATTTTATTTAAGTGCATGAGTTACCATTAGGTATACATCACATAGGTATAAATAATCGTATACATACGATTATACCTATATACGTTGGTGTCGATTCTGGCATGATTATCTAAGCTTAAAACTAAATTTAACATCAGTCTCTCCTTTTCATTCTGTATAGAGAATGACAAGGATACACTGTTGTCAAATTTAATTTTAGGTTTAGAGAATCGTGCCAGAATTCGCACCAGTTTAGTATATTTCTTGGGGTTCAAGATTTTTTTAATTTAGATAGTCATAGCAGGTAAATTAATTGATATTATTGTGTTCAAATATAGTCTACGAAATATCGATATTTTGGAATTTCCGATATCGATATTATCGATATCAGTGAATTTTAAATATCGATATAAATATTGATATTTTGGTGTCGATATTATCGATATTCCGATATATCGTTGCAACCCTAGACGCGCCGAGCGATGAAAATAAATTTACTAAAATGTAAGAAGCACCAAATCGCGTCACGAAATGATGTTCACAGCGACTGGGCTAGCGTAAAGTCTAGCCCGCATTCGGTGCGCTCATCGCTAAACCAAAAGTCGTGGCTGGGCACTTGGCGACGGGCCGGTTTCGCCGCAACAGACATGCCGGTGTGGGTCGGTCTGGTCCGGTAAGCAGTGTTGTGAGGTGTACATATAATTACGCAGTCAGAGTACCCTAGATTTGGATACAATTAAAAAATGCCTTTTCAAAATACCTAGCTTTTTGGCCTTTTTCTATTTAGGATAAACTGAAATCGTTATAAGGGTAAAATGAAAAGAAGAGCTTGCAACCAGGGTTGACATTTCGAAATTTTAATTTTTAAAGCGGGATCCCCGTTTAGGGATTCTCCGCGTCCCCGCACCCAGCAGCCTCCCGGCCTAGCCGGGGGACCCCCCCTGGAACCTTACTCACCGCCAGAAACACAACACCACCAAAAGTGTTATTGGTATTCTGTAACCGCAAACGACTTCAGGTTGCGATAAAACTGTTGGCCAAAAGTTATAGGTCTTCATTTGCGATACTTCTAATTTGGAACTTATCCAAAAAAAATTTATTGTAAATAATATGAACTATTGGGTTGCCATGTTTTAGAACACGGCAATGAATATACTGCCATGTACCTACCGTGTTTTATTGATGAAAAGACCTAAATTGCTGTGTAACACGACCATTGCCGTGTAAGTGGTGACAATGCTTGCAATACTGCTTACTGGAACGAAGCGGACGGACCTAATCCGGCTAGTCTGTTGCTGCGCTTATATTTGACGCCGTGTGAACTTCTTCACGAGCACGTTTTGTAGGTGGTAGAAAATTTTCATGCATTATGTTACCCGTCCGGTCGTCTTGTCGATCCAAGGCGAAAAACCATCCCATCATTAAAGCGCTTTTTTGGCGTCTGTCTATAAGTCGAATATGGTACAATCGTATACAAATTGTGAAGAAACTCAACATCAAGGCTCCACAAATATATGGATGTGTTGCCCAGGGTATTATTAATCCATATAGTATAATTTGTAATTTATAAGTGTTCCCAACGTGGGCAAAGCCCGCTATCTCACCAGCTAGTATCGCAATTTTGATTTGCAAAAGAATTACATACTGGACGATATTAAATTACTGAGAGTGATAATATAAAATCAATTTACTTTGCTTTCAATTATTAAAAAAAATCAACCCTGCCACTTACTGCTACTACTTATTTCCTCTGATATTATTACAAATAGTTATTAATTACTAATACCTAGTGGGTAAAAAGCCTTATTTTAAGATTATTTTTAAGCAAATTGACTGTTAGCGTAATTAATTGGAAATACTATAATCAAGCTTTCGATGTAAACTTAATTATGAGAATCTGTTAATTATAATAAAGTTTCTTACATATTTGTGTACAATTTGTCTTTCATTACTTTATCTATAGATTAAAGTTATCGTATTAATTTAATAGCTTAAAATCATTATTATTTGAAAGGGTTCCTAAGATAGTAAATATTTAATGAGATGCCAATACTGTGTTTACGTTAACTTTCTCCGTTTACAGCTGTAATCAAATTTTATCAATAATTAGAATTGATGGATGCATTAAAGTGTGACTACAGAAGATGTTGATCAGTACCTACCTTAAGACATTGATTTACTTTCAAGTTTAATTAAAACTGATGTTGGGTTGTAGTTGCGGGTTCGAGTCCCGTCTGCTAGATTTTTTTTCTAGTAATATTTTCTTTCTATTTAAACATCTTGCAGTTAAATGCCCAAAAAATATAAATCTGATTTTGTCTATTTCCCAGAAATAACAAGTAAAACACTTTCTTTGCTTAAAATTCTAACTCATCATGACTCATCTGCTTAGTTATTTGGTTGTGGTTAGAATCATTGTGTTCATTGGATCACTGCTTTTTTTTATTTTGTTTTTTTTTGATATGCTGGGGAAATGCATGAAATTGCGGTGGTTATGTGGGGCTCTCCTGCCCAGAAGGGGGAGGCCTACCCACTAAAACCCCAGCCATCACTGCCAGATACTGCCAGATATCTGCCTGCCTAGGCACTCGCACATTACGTATATCGGATCACTGCTTGATATATGCACGGCTTTATTTCATTTGGACAAACACCATTAGCTATACGTACGAGAACCTTAAGAAGTTATGATTATATTCCCTACAAACTTTGTTTGTGTGGATATTGACGACCAACTTTACGGCTAAGAACCCAGGAGCTGTTTTTTCCCGCACCAAACGCGGGCGCCAGTCCACAGTTTTCTGCGGTCCCGCAGCCGCAGCAGCTGCAACATCCGACGAAATCCGCCGCCTCTGCGGGAAATCGCGTCCCGCACGCGCCCGCACCTTGTGCTGCAAACAACCGCGCGCTCTGCGGGCGTAAAACGCACCGTGAAAGTTGTTTTTGCATTTTACTTACAATATCACATTTTACGTGATTTGTAGTCATGCAGCCGCGGCGAGTGTGGGAGAAAATCAAGCCGTGAGTCCTGTGTTTGCGGAACCCGCTGAGGCGCACGCGGGACGCGATCACCTGCAGATGCGGCGGGTCTGGCCCGTGTGCTCTATGTTTTTGTATGCAGACGACCCAAAGACGCGTTCTGAATTCAAAGTCTGCGGGCTCGCCCAACTGCACAGTGGCTGCAGGACCACAGAAGACTGCGGTCTCGTGAGTTTTGAAATGAAACAGCTTTCCCACTGCCGCAGCCGGCGCGGGAATAAATCGGGCCGTGAGTTCTTAGCCTTAGCCTACATCAGTACCTAAGTACCGAACTTCAATGCCAATAATAGCCAAGTTGGCTGGTATAGTAAACTGCACGATAAGTTCCTAATTGCACTTAGCTAACGTAAACGGGCTGTAGCGGGCTGAGAGGAAACTCTGAAGAATACGTGTTAAAAAACTTTCTAAGACAAACCGGATTTGTATACCAAGTATAGTACTGTCATACAAACATTACAAGTAATTGTTAATAAACAAAACAAAGGCTGAATGAAACACACCCAATATATGAAAACTTCTTGTATGGGAACCTCTTACTCTGATACTAATAAGCCTAACAACAATGAAATCATTGTAAGGCTTGTGTTATGGAATACTAGGGTAATGGATAGAATAAATATAATCACAAACGATATACGTATGTATATTTATCACGAAATTCATATAAACAGCCATAAATTAGGTACAGCTCCGAGGGATTGAGTTCAAGTCGGCAAGGTGGGGATGGCTGGAGCGGCACACCATCTGCTGCATTATCTATCTTCGCGACTGGACTCCATTTACACTTAAAATCAGTCCCCTACGTTGGGTGGGGTAATTAGTTGCGCCTCGTATAAAAAAACAAATGTTCGTATTCATTATACAAACATTTGGCAAACCGGGATTCAACCCGGGACCTCTAAGAAGGCGTCACCTTGAAACCAGGCGTGCCGAACATACCACTCACTCTACAGGTCATCAAGTATAAGTAACCGCTGACGACGGGCGGACAGACAGATTGACAGCGGAGTGTTTATTATACTTTAATAAAGACTGCACGTCACGGAACCAAATTACTGTTAGGTAGAACCCTAAAGCTGTTTCGCAGCCGCGCCGCACCACACAACGCTCCAATTATGCGCAGAGAGAAAGAATGCCTTCAAACTTTAACATTTTTTAAAGCAATCTCAAATTATTAGCACTCTCAAACTCGAGTTATTAAAGAAATTTGTAATGCTAACATTTTTAATGCACCAGCAATGCACCAACTAGGTACTATTTGCACTAATGCACCATCACAAATTTTATAACGAAACGAAACTACTTACTATCAACATCAATAAATATTAATATAAACAAGACATGACTGACATGTAATAAATTAATGAAATATTATCACAAAGAAATGCATGGGCTTATTATTTATACAGAAAATCAGCAAATGAACATTTAAAAACAATTTAAGGTGGCAGCGGAGAGAGTCGTGTCATTTTATTTCCTACCGCGCTTTGATAGATAGATCGATATATTCATAGACGTAAAGGAGTTCTATTGAAAGTGTCGCCTGCTTAGAAGTCCCGGATTCGAATACCGTTGGGGTAAATGTTTGTATGATGAATGCAAGCATTTGTACCTAAGAATGGATGTTAATACGCATCTATATATATAAAAATGTTATGTTGGTTTGTGTACGCTTCAAAAACTCAAAAAGTTCTGCACCGATTGAGTTGAAATTTTAACATGATATAAATTCCGCATCAAGGATTGTTTTTATCTATTTTTTGCATCAGATCAGATCAGAGATCAGCTGTGTACCATACACCGCGCCATCTGCCAGAAGCGAGGAAAACACTCGCTAACAACCGCAATAGTAATGACGCAGTCACATGAGAAACAATTTCGTTCCCAATTACATTGTTTATTTACAAAAAAATTGCATCTGATTCTGATTATTATACAATCTG